CAGGGCCTAAGTAGTGCTTCATTAGGACAGAACCTTTCTGAGCTTTGTAACATCAGCCATACATCTAGTAATCTGCCATTGGGACAAGTTGAGGCTTGGAGGCCATGAGAGTCAGGGAACAGAATTATCATTCAGGCCAGAAACTTGCTGATGGCCCTGAGGCTGCTGAGCCATCCAGGCGGCTATGCCAAATGAGCCCCGTGTGGTGCCCACAGTCTGGTGGGTCCTATCCAAACCTCAGCAGATGAGTGCAGGCTTGTCCTGTTATCCCTGAGAACACTGAGGGAGAGTGGGGCAAGACTATGTGAGAAATGCCTTCGTGGCATTCACTAACATTCTCTTAAACATTCAGCCCAGCTCGTGGAGATGGGATGTTGATGCCTCCCACAGCATGCAGCCAAAGGTGCCATCTTACTCAACCTCCTACTGCAACAGAATAGAGCTTAGATTTGCAGCTGATAGGCAGACTGGGGGAAAAGATGGAATGAGAAAACCCCTTGAAAGTGATTGTTAGATGTATGGATTATACTGGGGGTGTTGAGCAAAAACCCAACACACCTCAGATGCGTAAGGTCCCTGCAAATTGGGACATAAGCCTAGAGGTAAGATTTGGCAGTTCATTTTGAGGATGTGTGAATACACACCAAATGCTACAATTTAATTCATAGCTCTTGTTAAGGTAGAATGAAAACTAGTAAGTGGCAAGAAAGAAACTCAAGGGGATTCCAGATAAAACTGTCAATTCGTGGGTTCATATAGAATCCTGGTGAGGGCAACTACCCCATGTGCCTCTAAAAATCTTTGGTTTTCTTTTTTCCCCCGAGAAGAAAAATATGTGTCTGATGTATCCTTTAAATGTGACAGGAAGCACAATGCACATCACTCGATGTATATTTAAACAAATCCCTGTAACCAGCACATCCAGGAGTACTACAGAAGTGGTATGTCGGAATATACATCTTCACTCTGGACTTTGAGCCCTGAGAAGGAACCAGGAAGCACTCAGTGTGGACATTGAAATGCTGTGGGGTTTTCTCAGGAAGCACAAAGTTGAATGAGAAACGAAGTCAGAAACTCAGAGATGGTCCCAACGACCAGGGCTTCTGATGTCAGGGGGAGCTGAGAAGGAGCAAGAGTGGCCTACAGGCATCTGACTAAAGGAAGAACGCACACAGAGAGGATGCAGAAGAGGAGTGTGAGGGAAGCAAGAAGATTAAAGCTGCAAAAACATTCCTCTGATGGATTTTTCAAACACAGCAGCCAACAGGCAGGGACAGGTGTCCTGTCAAGCTGTTTCCCCTGAAGCCTAATCCAGCCTTCTGTGGCAGAGGCCGTCTGACCCATTTGTAATCGAAGGGCCTGCCCCTTATTCCCAGTGAGGCACTGCGAGCAGCCCCAGGATTTTGCAGAGTCAGGGACCTGGGAACAGGCTGCATTGTTTCATATGAGGCCGACTGGATCTCCTCTCTGCATCTGCCCCTCTGATAGCTGATTAGGCTGTTACTGATCACCAAGTCTCCACCCCTCTGGCCTCCTTCTTGCCCCCCCCCAAAGAAAAGAAACTTGGAGGGGGTGCTCTCTGATTTTTAGATCATTCATCACTGCATTATTCTGCCTTTGATCCTTTCCTGAAGCTTGAGTTTTACTGCAACAGCCTAACTGAGAGTTTTTGCCTAGTAAAGCAACAGCTAAGGCTTAAGCTGAGGAGGCACAGTGGGAGGGGACACAGCCAAGGACCAAAATGCTGCTTATTTGTTTTGAAGCCAGGAAGCCTCTCCTGCCAGTCGGCCCTTGTGGGGAGCTGGATGCCCAGCTGGAATATCCTGGGTCCAGCCCTCACAGGCTGTTGTGCACATGTTGGCATCAGAACAGAAGAGCTGTTGGGCTGCATGGCTGACCCATGCCCAACTTCGTGCCTCCTCCACTGCATGGCCTTCTGTCTCCACCCCAGCAGTTGTCAGAGGGCGCAGAAGGAGCCAAGAGGGACTTAAGCAGGCCCAGTGTTTTCTAGCACAAGGTTGGGGAGGTGGGCACCTGGACGAGCACAAGCTCCATGCCTGGATAAGCCTTCAGTTACACTGAGCTGGAGCCCGGGGGCCATAGAGGTGGAGATGACATTCTGATGCCAAACTCCTTTCAGTTGCTCACATCTTTCTTGCAAAATGATCTGCTAGGTTTAAGTATATTTTTGCTTGAGGCAAATTTCCTTGGAATGAGGTAAAGGAAAATGGGGGGTGGGACTCTTGGTGGAGTAGCTTTGGATTTATCAGACCGTGGAAGAGAGCACTTCTCAGTGCCTGAGGAATTTTCCAGATGCTGGGAGCCCGCAGTCACTCAGAGCTCTCATTGTGGGGAGCCTCCTGACTTGGCAGGTATAGACACACTGGCCTGAAGAAGGAGTAAGGCCTTTGCATTTTTTAAGTGAATTGCTTCCAAAACAGCAAAGTTACCAATACTTAGCTAGAATACATTGATCTCAAGCAATACCCTTCCCATAGTTCAAATCTTTCTCTTCTCAGAGAGAAAACTTATTAGCTGTTTTGGCTGAGAGGCTCAGCCAGGACTGGGCTGTATAATTCTCAAAGTGCAGTGTAGAATGGAAATGTAGGGGCCTGTGTTCAAACGTGATTAAGAAATGTTAATATGAGCCAGGTATAGTGCCGTGTGCCTGTAAACTCAGCGTTCTGAGAGGCTGAGGCAGGATTGTGAGTTCAAACCCAGCCTGGATAATTCGGTGACTTAGGGAGACGTTGTTTCAAAATAAAACTGAGTACAAAAATTAAAATAAACTGGAAATGTAACTCAGTGGGAAGGCCCTGGGTTCGACCCTCAGTTTTGCCAAAAAAGGAAGGAAGGGGAGGGGAGGGAGAGAGAGGAACAAAGGGAGGGAGGGGAGAGGAGCGGGAAAAGGAAAGAGAAGAAGCAGTGAGGGGAGGGAAGTAAAGAAAGAAGGAAGGAAGGCTAAGATGTTGACAGCAGAGCGTTAAAGCAAGCATTGCCCACCCCACCCCCCAAGCTGAGATGTGGACTCAGGCTTTCAAACTGTGCTTTCATTCTAAAAGGATTTAGAGAGCATTTGCTGTACCCTGAATATTATGCAATTGGATTGGGGTAGGGAGTGCAAAATTAATAGACTTCCCACTAGGAATTTATAACTTCAGGTCAGAACTCTGCCCCCCCTTAAATAAACTAATTTTTTAAAAGCCAAAGCTCTGTGCCCATCCACTGAAAGGAGCGCATGAGCGAGCGAGCTTACCTTAACCAACAGGGAGCAATTGTTCAGCCTGGAAAGTGAAACAGGGCAATAGAAGTGATTCAAGCAGTCTGTCATTGTTTTTGCTACACTGATCAGCATGCCCTTCTTACTTCACATTTGCTAGACCTATTCCGCCTCTTTCCTACGACCCCAGGTGTAACTTCTCAAGAAATGTTCTACTTTCAAAATAGGTTCTGCTGGCCATACTTCAGTAAAAGGTTCCTAAAACATTAGTCTTGCTAGGCCCTTGAGCTCATGGGGCAGACCAAATTCAACTAGGGAGTGTGGGTTCACGGGGTACGTAAACGGGCATATCATCATTTGTGGGGCTCAGCTTCAACCATTACTGAGTGTCAACTAGGACCTGAGTTAGGCTCAAAGGACACACACATTAACAAGGCTCAGTTCCTACCCCTAGAGTTCACAGTCTAACATTGTCATCAAAGGGACAGTGATCCCTTTCCTTTCTGGCTTGGCCTGACTGAGAGCTTCTGGAAGGTTCCATTAAGTAGGAAACCTCCTGACCTTGCCAAGTACCTTGCTCACCAGGCTTCCCTGTGGTGACAGTAGTTTGTTTTTGGTAATTATCTTCTGTGAGAAACCTGATTCCTACCTGTTTCTGTTGCCCTGTTCAAGTCTCCAGCAGAAACAACACAGGCAGGTGGAGTCTTGCAGTGAAGTTGCAATAGGTCCCTACAGATGCTATCAGTCTGGGGCCTGAGCAAAATTTGGTGTGGTCAGATTCTCCAGGGCTTTCTAAGTGCCATAATAAAGACAGTGTCTGGGTAAAATATTTTCATTCCTCTTATTTTATATTCCATGAGTTTTACTTCCTCTCAATATAAATTCAGTTGCAGTCTTAAAAACCCAATTTCCAATTTGGAACTTGGTTTTTCTGTACAAACGGCTCCTATTTTGTTCAGCAACATGAGTGATTTGGCTCATACAAAGAGGGATTTGTGTTTTCAACTCTTGGGTTGTTTGGTTTCAGATGGGTTGCTGTCCTCTCCCAGTCTTGGACCAGGCTTCCCACAGAGTCAAGGCGGAAGAGGTGGCCATGAGGCTGCCAGACACTGCGGGACCCTTGCCTCCATTCCACTGCCATGAAGGCGCACTGGGGTGCTGTGAAGTCCTAGGAAATTCCTCTCTGCCTGGGAGAACCCTCAGGGCATTCACAGAGTTCCCACCCCACCCCAAGGAGGATTATCCTTGATGTGTGATGCGGAGGGCAGCTCCTAGGTGGCAGGAGTCGGCCCTCTGGGTATGACTGTGGTTGGTGACTGGGTGGAATCTTGGGCCTGACACTCTTCACTGTGAATGTCTGAAAAGAAAAACCTGGGAGGGAGTTTTGATTGAACTGGAGGAAAGACTTCAGCCTTTTCTTTCATTGTCCTCTTCTGTCTCTGTTAGCTGAGCCTCCTGACTGCTGTGCTCACACCTTCCTACTGTGACCATAACGATGTCTGGGGCAGACAGGCAGAGCCAGCTCTCCCCCAGGTCTCTCCAAGGAATTCTCTGCACTTCCCCTGGTTCATATCCTAGGCATAGAGCAAGCTAAACCCTCATGCGGCGTGGCTCGCACATTCCATGCTTACAAAGCAGAACACTGAGAATGGACCCAGAGCATCCCCAACAGCCCCCGGTGTGAGGCTCCGCAGGTGTTTCTTGTGACTGACGATAGCAGTCTGCCTGGAGAGGTTGCGGTCTTGTTCCCCACTGAAGCCCGGTTGACTTCTCTCCACAGATCTCCAGGACTTCAAGTTAGATGTGCAGCATGTCATTGAAGTGGATGAGGGGAGCACAGCGGTCATTGCCTGCCACCTGCCCGAGAGCCACCCAAAAGCCCAGGTCCGTTACAGCGTCAAGCAAGAGTGGCTGGAGGCTTCCAGAGGTGAGTGAGGGCACACTGACAGCCTGTGGGGTCAGGGTTTCCCTCAAGACAAAGACAGCTTCTTTCCACAACTGACCCTGCACTCAAGGACGAGTCAACCAGACTTAAACCAAACCCAACCTCACCCCACAGCTCAAAATGCATATCTTTTGAAACATTCTGTAGATCTTCCAGCGAGAAAAGGAATACATATGTATTATAGAAAACACAGACAGCTCTTTTTGAAATTGTAAAAACCCTGATTGTACCGCTCAGAACTGGAGATGGAGAGAAGAGCATTAATCCATGTGTCCCCAGCAGAGGTTTGGCGGCATCCCCTGTGGGAGCCTCCACTCCATCTGTCACTTGCCCAAGCAGCTCACACCTGGGTGGCCCAGCAGCAGGCAGACACCAGGCTTGGTGACACCACGACTCCCGGGAGTGGCCTCCAGCGGAGCTCAGAGCTGATGGCCAGGGCTTTGCTGCCAGGAAGCTGAAGGCCACCCGAGTTGCTGGGCCGTCCATCAGCTGTGAACCTGCTCCCTGCCCAGAGAATCTGAACACATGCTCCGGGCTCCACCCACACCCCTGGGACAGGAGCGCACAAAGCAATGTGCTGGGCAGGGTTTCCAGTGGCCTTCATGAGGAGAACAGTGGTCATAGGATAGACTACTCCCTCATTTTCGGTGGCAGAAATTCAGCAGTGAGGTGGCTCAGAGCAGTGACTACGATGAAGCTCGAGGGACCGTTCCAAGGTTCCCTCCCTTCTGGTGGTTTTTCAGGAATGATCCCCTCTTCCATATGTATAGCATGGGCTCTTCAATCCTTATGGTGGCAATACGCACTGTGCCTTTTTCAAAACGAGTAGACAGGACCCAAGAGGTTAATTAACTTGTTCAAAATCATACAGTTACTGTCCAGCACACCCAAAGCTTGAGCCCACGTCTGGCTGACCCTAACCCCTGTGCCCTTTCTATCCTCTCCTAGCTCCCTTGAAAGCATACAATGCTCTTCCAAGATAACATACTGACCCAGGGGCAGTTAAGCCAGTTCATGAGCTGATAGCTTAGTATGGCTCTCACCCTGACATCTCTGTCCCACTTGGTAAGGTTTTATGAGACTTGCATTTTAGACATGGGCTGGTCACCCTCCCCTCCTTCCCTTACTCTACGGGAGCTTCAGAGTACAGTATTCTGAGCTCAATCCCCCCCCCCATTCTCTGCCTTTTCCACAGACAACTACCTGATCATGCCATCAGGGAACCTCCAGATTGTCAATGCCAGCCAGGAGGATGAGGGCATGTACAAGTGTGCTGCCTACAACCCAGTGACCCAGGAAGTGAAAACCTCTGGCTCCAGTGACAGGCTGCGTGTGCGCCGTAAGGGCCAGACTCACCTGTTGGGGTGGGGTGTTGCTCATGGAAAGGGCAGCAGAGCTGGGCACAGAGGTGGAAACCTGTGGCACCACAGTCCCAGCTCCAGTCCTTTGTGCTTGGGGGTGGCAGGGAGACAGTGAAGCTCGCACCAGCAGACACCTGGCACTCAGCAGGGGGATCTCTCTGCTGACCAACAGTGCCAGCCTCTCACCACACAGGCTTCTTTGGCTGGCTCAGGGGCATGTGAGGCTTGTTGGTGACATCAGAGCACTGTGGGGGGCCTCCCTTCCTCTTGCCTACTGAGGAGTTTCCTTCACAGTGTGTGAGCAGGGTGGGATTGGTTGTGTTGTGTGTGTGCTGGTCGGGACGGTTTACATAGATTGCAAGCCCCCATCAGGCTGTTAGATTCCAAATTCCTGCACTTTGGGATCTTCCTGGGTCTGGGCCACCCAAGGCAGGCTGGAGGGGACTTCCTGCAGGAAGCTGAGGTACTGTTTTCCTCTTCTCACTTCTCCAGGCTCCACAGCCGAGGCTGCCCGCATCATTTATCCCCTGGAGGCCCAGACCGTCATTGTCACCAAAGGCCAGAGTCTTATCCTGGAGTGTGTGGCCAGTGGGACACCAACCCCACGAGTTACCTGGGCCAAGGATGGGTCCAGTGTCACTGGCTACAACAAGACGCGCTTCTTGCTGAGCAACCTGCTCATTGACAGCACCAGCGAGGAAGACTCAGGCACCTACCGCTGCATGGCCAACAATGGAGTGGGGGAGCCTGGAGCAGCCGTCATCCTCTACAGTGTGCAGGTGTTTGGTGAGCATCTCCCTGGCCTTCCCCCTGGTCTCCATGGCCTTTTAGCAGCACGAACCCCGGCTCGGAGAGGACTCATCTTGTGAAAGGTCAAAGCCAGAAAGTGAAAGTGGCTCACTGAGGAGTCAGAGATCACCAAATGCCAGGGCAAGGGCCGGAGGTCCTGTGCCCTCTTTAGTTCCTCTTTGTCATGACTGATGTAGGAGGTAGGGGACGTTTAGGCAAAGCCAGCAGCTAGATGGAGGAGGGAGCCACTCATAGCCATGTCTCTTCCTGGCCTATTGGGCACTGGGAAGGGAAGCTGTAGCAAAACTCATCCCTGCTGTTGTTTCCCACAGAACCCCCCGAGGTCACCGTGGAGCTATCGCAGTTGGTCATCCCGTGGGGTCAGAGTGCCAAGCTCACCTGTGAGGTGCGTGGGAACCCCCCACCCTCTGTGCTGTGGCTGAGGAACGCCGTGCCTCTCACCTCTAGCCAGCGCCTGCGGCTTTCCCGCCGGGCCCTGCGCGTGGTCAGTGTGGGGCCCGAGGATGAAGGCGTCTACCAGTGCATGGCTGAGAATGAGGTGGGGAGCGCCCACGCAGTGGTCCATCTCAAGACCTCTAGGCCAGGTAAGCTGCCCCTGGGCCGATTCTGACCGATGCTCATATAACCCTTTTCTCAAATCAAATCTAGCCTAGAAACCCTGTATCAAAAGTAGATAAAAGTGTCTTTTAATTGTAAATTCAAAGGTACATTAGCCTAATAAGTCAGGTGTACAAGTCTGTGGGCTCCTGGGCTTCCTTGAAAACAAGTCTGACCATCACTGCTTTATGGGTAACAGAAGCAGGTCTCTCCTCAGTTTGACTTGTTCCATTTGTCGTCTGTAACAACTGAGCCATTACTGTGCGCTCACACTGGGCTGGGTAATGCAGGGGATATAGAGCAGCATGAAGACCCTGCCTACAGAAACTCTCCTGTGGAGGAAATAAAAGTTTCCATGGAAAGGATTTGGAAAAAAAAAAAAAAAAAAAAAAAAAAAAACAACAATAAAAAAAAAAAAAAAAAAAAAAAGAATACTACAATACTATGTCAGTGTTGGAGGTCAAGTGGAGCAGAAACGAGTGCTGGCAGCCTGTGGAAGCTTCCGGAAGGAACTCTTGCCCCTCTTGGTTCCCAGAAAATATTCATTGTTTGCTTCACATCTAATGATAGGTCACCTCTGGAGAAGGAAAAGGCCCATGGTATCGAGATCCTACAGTGAGAGGCTGGGGTGTGGCCCAGCGGAAGAGCCCTTGCCTAGCATTTGTGAGGCCCTGGGTTGGAGGCCCAGTACTGTACAGAAGACATCTCACAGTGAAGGGACATGTCCCCATCCTTAGTCCCCAGTGTAGACATGGGAAGAAGGTACGAGTTGAAGGGTTCCTGCACATTGCGCCCCTGAAGATTTAGGAAGTATAGAGATGCTTGTCTGCCACCTTGAGTGGCACAAAAGACCTGGGCCAAGTGGCCAGGCTGCCTTTCCCTTCTGGCAGGACAGAGACACTGCCTCTCTTCCAGAGCTGACTGTGTGTCACAGAGTGGCCTGTTGGCAGCCTCAAGTCTTCTCTGACTTGTTCAGAGTTTTCTTCCTGGCAGGTACTCCAGGGCACATTAAACCCTGATCTTCCCCTCTTTCCTGCTTGGTCCCAGGCACAACCCTGAAACCCCGGCAGGATGCTAAGGCAGCCACTGCCACACCTCCTGTGCCACCCTCCAGACCTAGCAGCCCTGACCAGAAGCTGAGGGAGCCACCAGGGCTCGCCAGGGCCCCAGCGTCGATGCCGCCTGCTTCCTCAGAGTGCCCAGGGGAGAAGGAGCAGGCAGCTCCTGCTGAGGCTCCCATCATCCTCAGCTCGCCCAGGACCTCCAAGACTGACTCCTATGAGCTGGTGTGGCGGCCTCGGCATGAGGGCAGCAACCGGGCACCCATCCTCTACTACCTGGTGAAGCACCGCAAGGTATGGCTGGCATCGTGCAGCTGCCTCACCGCTAGGCCAAATGTGGTCACTGCACCTTCTGCTGTCTCCAGGGAGCTCCAGAAGCTGCCCCCCACTACTCCTTACTGCTGCTCATACCTTCTGTCTCCTCTAACACCTGTCCCTATCACCCGGCTGTGTTATGGGCAGGTGAGACCCAGAGAGGACCAGGCAAAGGTCCTCGGGTCTAAGGTCTGTGCACCCATCCCCAGAAAATAGTTGCAGCATCTAGTCCTGGAGCAGAGTTAACAGGCTTCTCCTACAGAACCTTCCTCCCATTTTTCCTCTGTCATTTTTTGTTGATTTTTGTTTTGTTTTATTTTGTTTTTTAACCAAAGTAAGCTCTGCTGGGTACATAGCGGCAGGAACTCTGGCATGGTGAGTAGCTCTAATGCCAGGAAAACAAATATTTGTGAACAAGTGTTTTCTCTGAGGGCTGTAAAATGCCCCTCAGTACTCAGAAACTGTCCTGGCTAGGGCTTGACAAGCAGGCATTTGGGCTCCAAGCCCATAGTGGTGTTCAGACCTCCGCTGTTTCTCCCTGACAGAAGGGGTCTGTCCAGGAGATGTCTTGGGAGCTGTCAGGGAGGGAATCTGAGGTGTGACAGGAGGAAGGGACAGAGAAGAGCCAGCCCCAACCTTCTGGACACCATGTCTTATGCAGCAGGACAGGGCCTCTAGGCTGTCACCCTCTTTTGAGGCTGTTCAGGAAGAAGAAACTCCCTGTAAGAAAACACCTTGGAAACATTTCTGTTCACTCTGAGTAATTATTGTTCTCAAATGGATTTTTAAGTAGTGTATCATAAATCCTAAGTTTTTAGTAAGCATTTACATTATTTTGCTTACGAAAGTGCAATGTGCACTGGGTAGAAAATCTTTGTGTGGGGAACTACTTTTTCTTTTTCCAGAAACAAACAAAACCAGCCCCTTACTGTGGTAGGCATTGGTCATGAAGAAGCAGCGTCCTTGCCACGAACCCCATAGGCCTCTTGCATTCTGTCCTTTCTTTTCCTTCTCATGCTCTCCTTGAAGACAAGTGCACCCGGGGTCAGAAAACTCTAAGGCACAGCGGCCCCCTGCTGCCCTGTGCTGCCCCTACTTCCAACATGGGAAGGGTGACTTGCTTTAACCCTCAGCCTGCTGGCCTCCTCACTGGCAATCAGCAAAGGGGGTGAAGGCATTTGTAACAAGAAGCAGCCTTGTTCAGCATGTACTCCAGGGCAGGGCTGCTCCCCATCCTTATTTCCCTGTGTAACTGGACACCTCTATCTGAGCTATAGACAAAGATCAGGGAAGGCCGAGCGCCCATGGTCCCAGAGGGACAAAAGCCAGAATGAGAGCAAGAATAATATTTTTCAGGCCAATAGGTGGCCATGAACTGCCTTACACAAGAAGCATGCTGGCAAGGGCCATGCCATGGTGATCCGGAAATGCCCGGCTGAGGCCACATTCACCCTCTCAGCATGGGTGACAGTGACTAATTACCCATGCATTTCTTATTTTCATTTCTGGGCCCAGTGGAAGTGTGGGACCAGCACTGGGAGGCCAGGGGGAAGAAGAGGAGGGAGGGAAGAGAGGGTCTGGACAGGGCCCCTGCTGGACTTGGCTTCTATTAGGCTCCAGCCTGGAGGCACTTTGCGTTGTTAGGGGGACACTGCCAAGGCAAAAGCCATTCTCACTTGTGGAACTAACATATCATCACCAAAGAATTTTGAATCAAAAGACAGCATTTGGGTTATGTTTCTTTCATTCCCTTGTCTTTTGGGTGATTGGGAATCATTCACTTTTTCACACGCACAGAGCAAGTTTCAATTCCTGGTGCATCTGCAGACTCTGGGCTACTGTGTTTGGGTTTCCTGCACCGCTGGGGATTCTCAGTTTGTAAAAACTTCTCTCCTTGGAACAAATCCTGGAAGCCTGACATTAATGAGTCCAGGCCATCCCCGTCCCTTCAATGGTAGGTTTTGTTCTACTTTGGAATATTCTGCTTAGGGAGAAGAGCTTTCTCTACCAGCTGTTTTCTTCCTTCAGCAAGCCCCAGCTTCAGTCTGCAAGCTCTGAGAGGCACAGAGCTGGCCCTTGTCCTGAAGGTAGTAGGTGAGAGAAAGTCATTTCACTATCACTATTGGGTGCCTGGAACATGCTTGTTTTTTTCCTTTAGATTTAGAGAGTGTGCCATTAAAAATTCATTTTAGTAGTTGCAGTTCAGCAGCTGTTTTTACATTCTAAGCAAGGACTGAGAAGATGAAAATGGTAGGAGCTTCCTGGGTGAAGGGTGTGGGACAGGTCAGTGGAGGGGCTGGGCATGTGTTAGGCGCCTCTTTATCCCAAGCTAAATGCTAAAAACTTCCTATAAATTGTGCACTTTAACTTCAGAATCATCTGAATGATTTTATTTGCCTCGTTTAAGGAATGAAATAGGGAGCTTGCTCAGAGTTACACAACTGAGGACCGCCTGCTCCCAGACTTCTCTTTCTAGGACAGTTACACTGCCAGGTTTCCCTGTTGCCTTGAGCAAATCACTCATCCCTCCAAGCTGAGTCTGCACATTTGTGAAGTGGGAACACTGTTGACTCCAATCACTAGGGCTGTTGTGAAGACAAACAAGGTAGTCCAGATAAATCACTCCGTGTGTGCCTCAGTCATATTGACACTCAGAAAATATTGCCGTCTGTACTGATTCTGCTTTTGTTATCATTCTCAACAACTTGTTAGAATGTAGATGAAGGAACTGTGTTTAGTTCAGGTACAGCAAAGAGGAAGAATATTAGATATGCGCAGGTTTGGGAAAGTATCAGGGAGGAAGTCTTTGTGGAGTTCTTAGCACTATGAGCCAGGCCTTCTGAAGTTCATCAAGGAGCTTTCCCTGGTGAGACCATTAGATGAGGGTCCGTCCGGTAAATTTGGTGTCCCACCATGAAGAGGGCCATTCTGAGCTCCGGAGAACCCTCAGAGCCCACCTGGCTCATTTTCCTTCCACTCCTGCTCCCCAGGCTCAGCTCCTCGTGGCTTCCAACAACAGCCCACCGATTGCATTAGATACAGTGCACTGGACAGCAGGAGATGCTATTCCTTACACCAGGCACCTTCTCCAGCAGGTCTCAAACTCCTCTGATGATTGGATCATCTCTGGCATTCCAGCCACCCAGCACCGCCTGACCCTCACCAGATTGGACCCTGGGAGCCTGTATGAAGTGGAGATGGCAGCACACAACTGCGCTGGCGAGGGCCAGACTGCAATGGTCACCTTCCGAACTGGTAAAGTCAAGCATGACGCCCTGCTTGTGATTTCCATGGGGCCACGCAAGTTATGCCTGGTTCAGGAACAAAATCCTTTACCTCGCCCCAGCCATTCACCTGGCACCCATTCCTCCTTCCAGCTGCTGCCTCCCTGTGGTTTGTGTGCCCAAGCTAAGGTGCCGCCTCCTATCAGGAGAGACACCAGTCAGCCTTCTGGCATCCTTTTGCCCCTGTCTTTTGGTGTAGCAGCAACCCCACAGCAGAATGGACAGAGCCGGGAATCATACCACACTCGGTGCTCTCTGTTCTTAATTGCATCACCTTGTAAGACTTGGAAGATTCTCAGGCAATAAAGGCTTCTGTGGGAAGAAGCTATAATGCATATGTCCTCCTTTGCTGATCTCAACCCATTTTCACCCAGGACGACGGCCCAAGCCAGAGATCATGGCCAGCAAGGAGCAACAGATCCAGAGAGATGACCCTGGCGCCAGCCCCCAAAGCAGCAGCCAGCCAGACCACAGCCACCTCTCTCGTAAGCCCAAAGCCGAAGTGAGGGGCAGGGGCCATGGGCAGTCAGGACTGCACGTGCCTCTGCAGGCCTGTTCCTACAGATAGAATAAGATTTGGGTTCTGTTCACCCAGGGGTCCTTTTGTCATTGCCCATTTAATGAGTAAATGTAGATCGAAGTTTCTCAAATAAAAGTAGAGTCTGACCCCGGAATTACTGACTCTGACATTCTAAAAAATAGTGGGGCGTAGAGCAGCTGTCTTGGGCCCCACACTCTGGTTTTGCAGAAGTGTAACTGAAGTTGTCGTAGCTCCAGGTGGGAGGGTCTGCCGCAAGCACCAGTTTGGTGGAAAGGAGCAGGTTTTGTTGAGGGAAGGCTAGGTCCACTTGGAATACCACATCTTCAGAGGATATGCCCTCCCGTTTCCTTCCTTATCCAGCCCCAGAAGCTCCAGACAGACCCACTATCTCCATGGCCACTGAGACCTCAGTGTATGTGACTTGGATTCCCCGTGGGAACGGTGGCTTCCCGATCCAGTCCTTCCGTGTAGAGTATAAGAAACTAAAGAAAGTGGGAGACTGGATTCTGGCCACCAGCGCCATCCCTCCATCTCGGCTCTCCGTGGAGATCACAGGCCTAGAGAAAGGTAGGGACCTGGCCACTCTCCTGCCTGATCCCTGGGCTGCCCCTGGGCCATCTGGAGGAAGATAGAAGCTCTTCCTGCCACTCGGTCCTCCACCAGCCAGCGTGGTCACACTGATGCAGTGTACCCTGCCTTGATCCCACAAGCCCTTTCTCTCTCATTCCCTAAAACAAGCCAGAGCCATTTTGCGTACTGTTCATCTCTGATGGTGACAGAAGCTCATGGGAATCCTTTGGGAACTTGCTTTGGGGAAGGGCGGCACAGAAGATCCCTCCAGGCTGGGTCTTGATAAGCTATCAGGAAAACAAAAGGCGTTTCTTGAGTTCAGTGAGGGTCTCTCTCACCAGGCACTTCCTATAAGTTCCGAGTCCGAGCTCTGAACATGCTAGGGGTGAGTGAGCCCAGCGCCCCCTCCCGGCCCTACATGGTGTCAGGATACAGTGGCCGAGTGTATGAGAGGCCAGTGGCAGGCCCTTACATCACCTTCACAGATGCAGTCAACGAGACCACCATCATGCTCAAGTGGATGGTAAGTGGCCTCACTGCCATGGTCATGGGAGGTGGGGCAGAGATTTTTGGTGGGAGGGAGCTGGCTGCCTGTAGCAAGGGCAGGAACTCATCACTTCCCTGCCTCTGACCTTTTCCTCTCTGTGTGTTCCTCTTTCTGTGTTCCTGACTACCCCTCATAGGCACCTGAAAGTGGTGTTTAAGGAAGTTATAGGAGCTGGAGGTGCTGTTATTGGCCTGTTTGTTTTGGTGCCTTGACTAGTAGACCAAGCTGGTTTTCATTTTCAGGTTATGTCCCATCTTCCTTCTTGGCCTTCTAGCCAGAGATACTCAACTTTATGTGTACAGGGAGGTCCAGTGGGAACTGAAGTCTTTGAATAAATGCAGTTGTTTCTTGTCTCCAAAAACTTGAGGACCTCTAGATTAAAATAAGTCATGATCTCCACAGCCTTCTTCACAGAATCTCAGAGACATCATCAGGAATCTTTGCCAGGAGCCCCAGTGAAATTCAGACTTTAGACTGGGGCAGTATTTCCACACCCCAGCGATTATGCTTTAGTGATGATTTCTCTTCTCTGCTACCAACATCTCTACTCTATTCCCTGTAGTACATCCCAGCAAGTAACAACAACACCCCAATCCATGGCTTTTATATCTACTACCGACCCACAGACAGTGACAATGACAGTGACTACAAGAAGGATATGGTGGAAGGTGAGAAGCCCTTGGTGATACAGCTTCCTCTGCTGGCAAGGAGCTCTGGGTGCCAGTGAAATCTGGAGAAGCATAAAACCTGGGTCTGGTGTATTAAAGCATCTGTGCTCTGTGTCATGGACTCAGTTGTAACGTATTTGGGCCACCCAGTTAAGCCCAAATGCTTCTTTCCCATGAGGATGGGGCAATAGGAATGTGGGTGGGTGCCTAGAATATTTTCTCTAGTGTGTCCCCACCATGCCGGTCAGTGACACCAGCCAAGACAGCCTGCTTGAGTCTGGATGTGTGATCAGCACCATGAAAACAACACCCATCTCACCATGCATGGTTCTTGCTGTCCTTCCCAGGGGATAGGTACTGGCACTCTATCAGCCACCTGCAGCCAGAGACCTCCTACGACATCAAGATGCAGTGCTTCAATGAAGGAGGGGAGAGTGAATTCAGCAACGTGATGATCTGCGAGACCAAAGGTGATTTTCTCTTTTCCTTTCTTGCTACTTTCAGCAAAGTAGGGCAAAATCACTGCCCCATGCCATTCTCAGCATCTCTTCCCCACGAAGACTATTTTCCAAGGTCCTCGACATCCTCCCCTTTCATCTGAGCCTGTTGCTCATGTAAACATGAGTGAGTCACCACCGATGGCTTCAAGGAGCTTATCCATGAACTCATCAGGAACAGTGCCCATTCTTAAGCTGGGAACTTCCTATAAATACTTTATTCTTCCACTTGATACTTAACATCAGTTGGTTTATTTAACTACAACCTCATGAAATGGGGAAGAACTGAGCCTCAGAAAATACTGCAACTCAGCCTGAGTTGTGCATCCACTTAGTTGGAGAGCCCTGTTCGGACCAGGTTCGTCTAACTACAAGCCCAGGTTCTGTCTGCACTAACACATGTTAAATGCATTCACAAATTAGCTGGTGATGCGTATTTGCACATTAGTCAGGTGGGGCGCTATCATTATTTCCATTCTACAAATACTGAAAGTGAGATAAAGCCAGGTATATTGCAGAGGACATGATCAGGAGATCACAAAAGAATCGGGACAGAGGTAAATAGGTGTGCTTTTCTGTCATTGAGATGACCACATTCTGTTCCCCTCTTGGCGTTGCTCTTAGCCACTTCTCACAGATACTGAGTGCCCGCTATTTGCACATCCTGCACTCTTCCTCCTTGCACAGTGGGCAGAGGGGCAGATAGGAGGGAAGGAGGCAGACAGAAAAGAGAAGCGGAAAACACCGCAGTCAGGATGGCAGTGGGAGATCAGAAAATTGTGCTATCGGGAAGTTGAGGGAGAAGGACAGGTGTGAAAGAGTTCACTGTGCCAGATGCACCTGTAAAAGAAAACCCAGGGGAAAAGCTCCTGCTCGTCACTTTCCACCTTTGAGCCGGCGTTTCCCAAGTACTCTTTATCTCCCCGAGTTCCAAAACACCCACCTCACTGCTCTGCAGTCCAAACTCATACTTCGTACTTCGTGTCCCTGAAACCAAGAATAGCAACTCTGTGGATAAATTATTTCGTTCCCAATTCATTTGCTGGTTTTACACATTTTAAATATTTTCCTCCCGAAGTTCACCAGTTATTTTTTCAGAAAACACTATGCCAGTGCAACTCAGTGCTTGGCTCACAAAAATGTTCTGTTTTGTAATATAAAGTTCCGATCTCAGCAACACCAGATTTTACATTAGATTGCCAATTTCATGCTGAATGTAGACAACATAAGGGATTCTGAAGCCCGTCTTGTGAGTTTGACTGCCGTTTGTTTATGGGATTGGAATACTGTGTTTTCTTTTGCTTCTTGTTGTAAGGAAGATGTCAGAGAAATAGGTGCTGATGTGTGTTTTGTCCCCAATTGCAGCCCGGAAATCTGGTCAGCCTGGTCGCCTCCCACCCCCGACTCTGGCTGTACCACAGCCACCACCCCCAGACACCATGGAGCGACCAGTAGGCACTGGCGCCATGGTGGCACGTGCCAGCGACCTGCCCTATCTGATTGTTGGGGTCGTCCTGGGCTCGATTGTCCTCCTCATCGTCACTTTCATCCCCTTCTGCTTGTGGAGGGCCTGGTCTAAGCAAAGTGAGTAACGCTTCTCACACAATGAGGAAGGAGGCTGGAAGGAAGGCAGGAGGGCCGCCCAGCTCCTCAAGGAGGCTCCTGCCCAGAGTAGGGTCAGAAGGGCCTGCTTTACATCCAATGGCTGTTCAAGCTCCAGGATCCCGCTGAGGTCCCAGGGAGTTAGAAACTACTCCAAGGCTGGGCCCCTCTGTCCCAGCTCCATACCTTAGCTGGTGGGGAGTGTGAATGAAGTAGCTGCAGTTGGCCTGTCTCTGCCTCACCCGTCCTCTTCCGGTGCCCACATCTGCTCCTCCAGCCCCATGTGCAGCCTTCACTCGCCCCGCCTCTTCCCTTAAGCATTTCCCGCCTCTTCTCTTGGTGTAGAGCTGCCTGGAGCTCTCCCCTTGTCCTGGGTTAGTCTCATCTATCCACTGATGTTTGCTTCACATGCAGCCTACCTCCCTCACCTAAATAATTCTGTTTACTTACTACCTCTTTCCCCCAAACTACGTCTCCTCGTCCCTCTCACAGCAGAAAGAGGGTACATGTTAGGAAGACAGAGGTGACAGTGAGATTCTGAGAGAAATCAGAATCCTGTTGGGTGTGTCATCTCCCTGCCTACATCCTCATGTGGTTGGGAGAGTAGGACTTTTGAGCTGCCCTCGGCCTTCTTAGCCTAAGCAAACCTCTGTCCTTCTGTTCTTCCAGAACATACAACAGATGTGGGTTTCCCTCGAAGTGCACTTCTGTCCTCCTCCTGCCAGTACACCATGGTGCCTCTGGGAGGACTCCCAGGCCACCGAGCCAATGGACAGCCCTACCTCAGTGGCATCCACAGACGGGCCTATGCTAACGGGCTGCATGGGAACAGGGGGTGCCCTGTGGCTGCAGGGCACTACCCAGGCATGAAGACTCAGCAGCACTGCCCAGGGGAGCTGCAGCAGGTAATGCACTCCTGAGTGGGTGGGCAGCCGGCCAGGGACAGGAGCAAATGGGTAGGCTGCCTCTTCAGGCTTCTCCTTCTAGCTTCTCCTCCCAGCTGCTGCGCCAGGCTTTCCTTAGTCAGCCACAACCCCTCCTACTAGACAGCAAACACTGGCAAGCTTCTTAGACCCTTCGACATGACCTTTTCTTTATTCTTTCTTTTGAGTAGCAGGGTGACACCAACAGCCTGCTGAGGCAAACCATTCTTGACAATGGATATGACCCCCAGAGCCACCAGGTTACCAGGTAACCAACTTCTCCCCAGCTCTCCTTTTGTTCCTAAGCTCCAGGGCTGAGCAGTGCTTTACTCAGAGACCCTTATATCTGTCAACTCTGCTCCCTGGGATCAATACCGGTCGTAGTTATGGGTACAGTGCCCTTTCTGGTTGGGACCGTGGTCTGCTTCTCAGAATCCCTTCCTCACTGGGTGGACCAGAAATACCAACTTGGTCTCCTGGACACCCATTCACACCATCCCACACAGACTAAAATGGGAATGGGCTAGCACTGTCCACAGGGATGATGATATACCCCTTGGTGTTCAAAGGGAGCAATTGTTGCCCTGTCTTGAGTTCTGACCAGCTCTGTTAACCTCCAGGGGAGGGTGGGGGTGTAGGCCACCTCTGCTCCTGCCTTACTTCCTGTCTGGTCCTGTTTAATGTAGGGGCCCCAAGCTCAGCCCGGATGAGGGCTCTTTCTTGTACACACTGCCTGATGACTCTACTCATCAGCTGCTCCAGCCCAAAGACCACCTCCAAGAGCAGCCTGCAGCCATCAGCCAGTCAGGAATAAGGAGAGCACCCGAAAGTCCTAAGCTGGTTGCTGCCTGGGACCCTCCATTCCACTCAGGTTAGCCGGCCTGGGGAAACCAAATGTTTGTGTGTATGGGGGGAGGGTGGCCTGAGGTAGGGACCCAGAACTGAGGAGTGGCTTGGAGGAGAGTGGACAACAGTCTTAAGGTGCTGTTTGGTAAGGAGACGTCTATAGGTCTGTATGGAAGGGACAGGGCAGTGGGGTGGGTGGGTCCCTTGCTACAGAAAGCCCAAGGGGTTCTTTCTAGCTCCGGCACCGCTATCTGTGGTCCTCAAAGGCCCAGGACACTTCACCATTTCGGAGGAAGGAACCTATTTGGCCTCTGCATTTCAAGGCTCACATTTTTTTGCCTCTCATCGTCGAAGGCATCTCTAATCACTTGTTTTGTTGGGTCTTGTCTGTTAATTAAGGAGCAAGTTGCGTCAACCATTAAAGTGCCAAGTTCTTACAAACATCATCATCATAGCTCTGTGTTTCCATGGAACTTTTCCTCCTAGGGACTCAGGGCCATTGGCTCTGACCCCACCCCACTGTCTCCCTCTGGGCCAACCACCTTGGAAATCCAGGGTGCACACTAGGGCACAGGCTAGTTTGGTAGACTGGCAATGTTTCTCCATGGCGGGCAGGTTCCTTCAGGTGCAGATCCTGGACCCTGTCTCTGGAACATTAAATACTGAAAGCATTTACCGCTAGAGCCAGACCCAGCATCATGAAAATTGGACTGGGGTGGACTGTGAGCTTGCACTGTGAGTGGGATGCTTCTGACCAGAAGCCACACCAACAAGTCTGGGAAGAGCAGAGCTTTCTTCTGCATTCCACCCACTCCAGTTTCATCTGCCTCTGGTTCAAGCTGAGAGCCTAAGTGCTCTACAATCCCAGGTCCCAGGGTAGGCAGGATGTGGATAGGAAGGGGCCCTCCCCACAAGAGTGAGGCCTTGGTGGGAGCACAAATGCCTAAACTGGTTGTAAATTTCAGTCCCTCCCTTAGGACCAGTGTAACCAGCTCCTACCACAGATAGAGGTGGGCCCAGGACCAGTCAGTCTGTCTGGATTTTAATGTTTGCCACTTTTTGTCTCCCTCAGGGCCACCGTGCTGCTTGGGCCTAGTACCAGTTGAAGAAGTGGACAGTCCTGACTCCTGCCAAGTGGGTGGAGGAAACTGGTGTGCCCAGCTCCCCTCGGGGGCCTATGTGGGACAGGAACCTGGGATGCGGCTCTCTTCCAGCCCATCAGTGCATGTGTCCTTTGAAACACCACCTCCTGCAATTTAGGCAGAAGCCAGTATCCTAGAAAGACTATATTGTGTTTTTTTTTAAGAGACAGAGAAATTTGGTATTTATTTTTCTATTATAGCCATATTTATATATTTATGCACTTGTAAATAAATGTATATGTGTTTTTATAATTCTGGAGTGACCTAAGGAATCCTCCTGTTGATGTACAAAAGCAGAAACAAGCTGCAACATAACAGGAGTCAATCACGAAAGAACAACACAGACTGGCCAGGATGCAGATTCTTCACAGAACCGGAAGCTGCCTGGGGGCTGCAGGAGCCCCACAGAGGAGCTAATGGAAGGCTGGATCCAAGCATCCTGCGAAGAGTGCCATGGAAAAGCCAGGGCCAAGGCATCACAGACTGGAGACCTGCCCTGGTGGTGGCTGGGCCTGGCGGGCGAAAGAAGTGTTTCCTAAGATGCCATGAGAACAGACTCATGTACAGCTCATAAGCATTAACAAACCTTCCAGAATCAATCATTTGTGGCAACATATCTCTGTAAAAACAAACACTGTAACTTCTAAATAAATGTTTAGTCTTCCCTACAACCTTCAATTTAGTCATGGATGAGTCAGCGTTTTCTTTAGCCGTTAGAACTCAGTCTTGGAGAAGCTGAAGAAGATGCCCAGTTGTGATGTCTTCGGATCCAGGGAGCCTTGAGCACTGGAAGCAGTAGCAGATGTTTTTCATTTTTTAAACACTGAATGGCAGTTGTGTTTTGATTAATGCAGAATGGATTAGTAACTGTTTACTCCAAGAGGGAGACGTTATACACTAGGCCAGGAGGGGGGTTCACAGTTCTGCTGCTGACTGGATTTCAGGTAAAGCTTTGGTCATACAGGAAGAATGAAACATCCTTTTAATGTAGTGCGTGTGTGCTGAGGACCGAATGTGTCCTACAAAATACCATTTAGCTAACTGCTGTGGTACACGTGAACACATGGCGCCTGGTAAATCTACTTCCCCGCTTTCTACAGGTACACCAGCCCATGTCGCTGCTGCCGCTGACTCACGCACTTAAAATCAGCATCTACTTACTCTTGTCCAGCCAAAGGATTGGCCACATTTTCTTTCTCTTTAATTGAAATTTTAAAACCTTTCTATGAGGAAGGGAGATTTTTAAAAAGCTTCCACTGGGCTAATAGGTGAGCTGACTCCTCAGACCGGGGCTCAAGCTTGTGATGAAAGGGCTTTATACATTTCCAACTGAGGGTTTGGCAGGGAGAGTATATTTTGTAGATTGAAGTAAGCAAAAGCCAGTTACAGATGAAATGCCATTTGAGACAATCTTAAGAAATGGGCCAGAGTTTTTTCTTTTCTTTTTGTGGTGCTGGGGATTGAACCGACGGCCTTGCATATGTTAAGCTGGTACTATAGCACTGAGCTACACCAGAACGTGATAGATGCTGTCCCAGAAAAGCCTGGGACTCAGGCTCCGGGAAGCGGGTCAGACTTGACTGTTTGAGTCTGGTGCACCCTCTGCTGGCCACAGGGAGTCTCACACCTGCTCCCTCCTTCCCTGGACTTGTACCCTTTTGCCTTCAAACAGCGAATGAGAAAGAACTCTCATCAAAGCACAATACAATTTTTAGGAAAGCAGTGCTTTTAAAACACTGAAATTATTGTAAGGAAAAGAGAAGGAAGAGAGAAGTCAAACAAAGAAGATAAGTGGGATTTCAGACAGCCTAGCATCCGGGGCCTAGAGGTCACTTCCAGGAGAGGGCGGCTACTGTTCAGATCCTTGCTCACCCGGACACTCTCAGGTCTAAGCTGCTGCTTACCTGCTAACCCCTGGAGGTTTTTAAAAGGTCTCCCTTTGTTTTGGTTTTTTAAATTTTCCTTGTTGATCTAAAGTAATTGCCAAAGTGGATTTTGGTGAACTCTATTGAAATGATGTATGAAATACATCATTGTAATCATAAAAATGAAGAATGATTTTTGCTCTTTAAAAAAAAGCATGAGTCCTGGGAAAGGAAAAGCACTTCTGAGGTACACTAAATGGCACATGTGTATACGTACCTTAAGCGACTGCAGGAAAGAAGGAAAGAGGGCGTCCTACTTTAAATGTCCGCCCAGGAAATGAAGCCATGCAGATGTCAATTTCACTGTACTTTCATTTCCTTAGATTCAGAGTTTTCATTTGGTCTTTCACGACCACAGAAATCAGTTAACAGGAAGAGTAAGAAAGACCTGGTGAGTGGGAGCCAGTGTGTGGTACAGAGCAGGGGCTCTCAGACCTCTGAGGGCGACCCTCTGACACGATGGGTCACTGCCTTTTACTGAGCCAACACGGACTGGACTTTACAGTATCTTTTTTTTCCAGTTCTGAGTTTCAGTGATAGTATGGAGGAAAGTTCAAAGTGGCCAAGTTAGCCAGGCATAATGGTGCATACCTGTAATATCAGCAGTCTGGCAGGCTGAGGCAGGAGGATTCCAAGTTCAAGCCCAGCCTGGGCAATTTAAATTTAGCAAGATCCTCTCTCAAAGTAAAATAAAAAGGGCAGGGAATGTGGCTTAATAATAGAGCAGCCCAAGGTTCCATCCCCAGTATCAAAAACATAAGTGGCCAAATCATACTAACAACCTACAAATGATACCGGCTGGTAGGTGGTTTCGCCTCAGAGGAGCACTGCAAACTGCAAGGAACAGAGCACCACTGAAGGGAACTGGACAACTCTCTACCCCTCTCTTGCCCGGGCTGCACCCTGGTGTTCTCTTTCTGTCTGACGTTTCCCAAAGACTCAGGTGTTCATACAGAATTGTAGATTCAAGACCATAACTGGAGTCAAGTAGAAATGAAACTAAGGCTAGTGATACATCTGGTCCAATTCAAGATAAAATAATAAAGTGTTGTCAGCTATGCATGGCGGATGAAGTGCTGCGGATTGTATACTGAACTAATGGTTTAGTTCAGCTCCAACTGGAGAAAACAATCCTGGTTAGTTTCACTATAAATTGAAATATGCACAGAATCCTCGACATGGCTCTCTTACAGACTAAATTCACTGTTGCTGCAACCAGAAATCACAGAATTTCAGAAGGGGAAAGAGCTCAGAGCTTATCTAAATTCTTCGCTTGTCAGATAATAAGATGAGGCCCAGGAGGATTGCATAACTCATAGCTCTCACAGCTAGGAAGAGGGTAATATCTCCTTGGTATCTTTCTCAGAAGCCCATGAGCTACCCCATGCGGGAGCCGGCCTGACAGTGGCCCCCACTGACCCTCGCTGATTTCCCAGTCCATTCAGTCCTCCCACGTCACACCAAGTCCGGCCCATGTGACCCATTTGGTAATAGTAATGGTCCGTCACTTCCAAGGCTAGGTTGTAAAAGGCTGTGGCTTTCATCCCCAGGGGTTCTTCTCACTCTCTTCCTCTGTCTTGGATCAATGGCTCTGGAGAAGTCATGGCACGTGCAGCCCAGTGAAGAGGGCCATGTTGTAAGAAACCTAAGCCTCCTGCTGAGTGTCAGGTGACGGGAGCCCCTACTCACATCCTGACTATAGCTCTGCGAGAGACCCTGAGCCAGAGCCGCTAATCCTAGATTCCTGACCCCTAGAAACACTCCCACCTGTAACCTAAGTGCAATAATAAGTTCGTTGTTTTGAGCTAGGTTTTGTGGTGATTTTTTTTAAATACAAAAAAAAAAAACACTCAGAGGTATGACTAGCACTAGCACATTTTTAAAAAATGCTTGAAAGGTACACAGAGTTGGGCATACAACATAAGATGTTCTCCAGTACATCCAAGATTTAAGGCGATAGGCATAAACAAATCATTCTGACTTCTTGAATAGGAATGTGAAGGAATCTTAGACAACACGCCAAGCAGTCACATCTAAGAGTATTCCAGCATACAAAGAAAGCAAGTCCTGTGTATAATCTGGAGGGGCAGGATTCTCAGGCTAAGAGTTGGTTACAAACCCCCAACACTGCAGAGTTTCTTTTTACATTTATGAAATACAGGGATTGCCTTCTTCCTCTTTTCTTCTCAAGGAGGAATGAATATTTTGGGGCAGGCTCAAAGGAGTAGTTCAGTAGCACAGACTCATAGGACTCTGGGTGCAAAGTGCCATGCTCTCTAGGACACCAAGTGCCAGGGAGGTCGTGCCTCCTCTGCAGCACGGCCATGAATTTCATGAACACCTACTCACACACCAAAAGGACTGTCTTAAACTAACTGAAAATGTTACGCATCATCAAAAGTGATCATTAGAGAGGATCTCTCAGAGAGATGTCAATCCATTTCATTTTGTCCTAAGCTGTATCAAAACCAGCAAATGACTCATTAAAACCTGAAAGAAGATGTCACAGGACATGAGAAACTCTGAGGAATACTTAAAGCACTGATGGACTTGCAAAACTCTTCAGAGAAAACTCCCTTAGGCCCCTTGCAAAACATGCTTTCTGCTCCACTTAGAACCTGGGAGTTGGCAAAATTTGGGAGCGATTCAGGAAGCTGGTTTTTTTCCTGCTTTTCACCAACCCAAAGCAAATTGAAGGAAACAGCTTCGCTATGTCTGTTCACATTTCCTGAATCCTGAACACTCAAATAACTGCTTTATGAAGTTAACAATGCCAAACTCTAATTTGCATTTCTTGTTCTAATATACTGTTGGCAAAATAATTTTCTTATTCTCTTGTGCTCTCTCAGAGGATATTTAATGAAAACAAAGTCTATTTTCTAAGGAGCCAAGGACCAAGAAAAGGAAGTTTTCTAATGGATGGCTGAATGAACATTTTTCTTGCCAATGACTAAAAATTAAGAATACCTGAAAAATATATTTTCCCCAAACAACGTATACTACAAATGCTTCCTTGGAATTATGAAACACCACCTTGTCAGACTTCATATCCAGTCCCGTGCGGTCCATGTTCAGTTTAATAGTAATTAGATGGGTGCTGCATTTAGCTCTAACATAACCAAGTTGGAGAAGAATTATTAAGAACTACATGAGAAGATCTGGGTTTAGACTTTTAGAGAAGTTCACTTTAAAATAGGATTGTTGCAGGTGACGAGGAGATGGAACTTGAAGTGAACATGTTAGGAATCCCGGGTGAATTTGAGAAAACAGCAAACTTAAGGGTCCAGGGGCTTCATTCATTGTGTGTAGACTGAATGGGTGGAAGGATAAGCCCTCCTTTCTTATGCAAAAGAGCAATCTCTTCCTTTAAGGCCAAAATTCTTTCTGCCTGGACTTGGATCAATTCAGTGATCTTCTTTCTTGCCACAATATCTGCTTTCCGAGGGCCCTGGAAGGCGTTACCCTGTTGGGAGAAAACACCTCTCTACTTTGTCATTTGGGATATGAAAAATCCTCTTTACAGTCAACTTACAAGCTACTGCTCCTCACTTTAGAGCCTTCTATTCTCTACTAAAATCCTACTATCAGAAAGGATTGCCTTTGGAGTAATGAACAACTCTTAAGATGCAAATCCCCTTTGAAAGAGTAGCACTTATCCATCCATCAGCCATTCATTACCTGGAGGGCTCATCTCTGGAAACATGAAGGATAGGTTTGCATGTTTTTTTCTGTATGGCCCAGATTTTAGTTCCGGGGCAGGTCATAGAGGCATGGCCTTGGGTACTATATATGGCCCCTGACCCCTTCCTTTCTGGCACTGTACCCTGCCTGTCTCTAGGCTTCCATGAAAATGAACTACACAGCTTTGTTCCACCACCGGCTTCCATCGTGACATTCCTGCCTTAGAGCCAGCCTATCATGGACTGAATTCTTTGAAAGCATGAACCAAATAAACCTCTCCTTCTTTAAGTAGTGGGTGATGGACATTTGGACCCAGCAATGGGAAAGCTGACTAATACGATTCCCAAAAAGAAGGCTCATTTCTCTCCCTGTCCTGCCAACTCTTGCTATGCTGCAAATCTCACTTGCAGGGAGGCCCTGGGTGACCCATGGGCTAGGTTGGTATTTCCTTCTCTCTCCTATCCAGATATCCCTCATATATACATATCTTTATAGTTATCAGATTGATGTGTTTGAAACTTAACATATTTGATCTTTTTCGATCTTTTTTTAAATGGCAATTCATATGGATCCACCGAAATGCTTGTGATGCCTGTCTTTCTTGCTAGATTCTGTGCCTCTTAGAGACTGAGTTTCCCAGCTCTACCCAGCACCTACCTCATGATTGTTACATAAATAAATGTTCAACAAGCTGTAAAAAAAAGAAACAAACCAAAAAACCTAGCTTTACCCATTTCTCTTTCAGCTAGGGGTAGCTAGGTCAATATAAGTGGAAAACTTGTGTTTTCTTAATAAAAGGAGTAGAAAAGGCTGGCATATGAATATGAAACAGAGTCAAAGCAGCCAGCTCATGGCTATGAAGGGCCACTGGGAGAACGGCCTGGATATCTTGATATCACAGACCCACCAACCTCAAAACGTGCAGTCACATGCCCGATACAGTGTCATTCCAATTGGTCGCTTTGAAGTTACCTTGTTCACTCCTTTCATACTCAATCAAATTTTGGCTACTCTTACTTTACACTATCTTTGTCAGCACTTGCTTTCTCGCTTTTACAAACTACCTCCCAATTCCTTTTAGGTCATTATAAGAAACAATGATGCCAGCTTTGGAGGCAGACAGAACTGAGCGTAAAACTAACTTCACCATGCGTTAATTCTGAGAGCTTGAGAAGGTTGCTCAACTTTTCTGAGCTTGGGAAAGTGGTGTTTTGAGGATTAAAATGAGACAGCCTATGCATACTTGTAAAGATGTACTAAGTGAAAATGTACGCTGCAGAGGCAGATACTAGCAATCTCCTTCCTAGCTCATTTCCTGCCTCCAATCTCTTTGCTTAGTTGGTGAAGATTTGCTTAGGCATTAACTTTCCCAAACACTGCCTTGATTCTTCAGTGGATAAAGGGTCCTTAATATTCAAATTCTAGTCTTCCTTTCATATCTAAACTCCATTTATAAACTCCAAATCCTTGTATCCTACTTTTATAGGGCAACCTCAGTTCTCAAAAGGGTTACTTAAAAAAGGAATATACCTGCTGATTCTGTAGTGTATTCAACCGAGAATCAAGTTTCTTCTTTTCAATACATAAATCATTCATCTGATGTAGTTTTTTGGTGTGTTCTTTTGTCTTCATCATTAGTTCCCACCGTGCTTCAGCAATCTTTTGCTACCAGGCCAAGAAGATGTAAAATAGATTAAGTAAACAGGGAGGAAATAGAGAAAAATGAGTATCCACATTTGATCAAAACATCAGGAAAATGAAGCAACATGCATAAATACATAATTAGAAGGGCCAGGGATTTAGCCCAGTGGTTCTGCCACATGCCTTGCAAATGCAAGGTTCTGAGTTCAATCTCCACTACCAAAAAAAAAACAAAACAAACAGACAAACAACAACAAAACATAATCAGAAGCCAATATGAAAATGTAACCACAGGTCTACAGCCATACCACCCTGAATGTTCCTGATCTTGTCTGAAAATGTAATCAGAAGCAATTGCACTGGTTCTGATTTGATTAAAGATAAGAGTATAAGTGTGCTCAAGGATAAAAGTAGGTAAAAACTAAGATACATATAGATATCACCCTACTGTTGAGGAATGAAATGAATATCCATACTGACACCCACTACTTAAAAAGAAAGAAGATTAGTTTAAGCAGCAAATTTCCATCATGCACTCTTTTCCCAGTCTTGGCCTCACAATGGATGATATGAATTACCACATATTGGCATAATGGCTTTCTTTTTGCGCTTTTATTGCTCCAGCAAGTTATTTTAGATTGTACCGATTGCTGGCATATGTAGGCACTAAACCTTCTAAGACCCTACCAGCTACTTAGTCTATTCATGTTTTAAAGCATATGACTTAGGCATGTTTTATGATTACCAAATTGAAACAGCAGGCAAAAGCTATAGGACAACACAATTAGGTTCATCAGAAGATAGCAGTTTTATTTCTATCACAGAGCATTCATACATCAATGTAGGCCTCAAAGAATCTCTCCATGATCTATCATTCCATTTTATTACATATTTACATTCACCCTGTACCCCAAAACCCAGAGCAGGTCCTTTGAGTTCCAGATATATCCCTTCAAGTGGTCAGTAAGGGAGCAGAGATAGACCTAAGACCCTGGGGCACCAGTGGGGGCTCCCAAACATCTGCAGCAGTGCAGATGCTTCATAGGAACCGCTTATGGTATCCCAAGATTTTTTGCCTTCCCCCAGATATAACCAAGGAGACTTTGTGGCTCCTCCTCCTTACCTCCCACATCTTCATTTCCTTTGCATTCATTAGCTCCTTTCGAAGTTTTTTGATCTTCAATTCTTCCAGTGTTGTGTTAACAGAAAGCGTCTGAAGAGCTTCTAGATCTATTACTCGGCCAAACTTGCTGACCATTAGTTGACGGACTGTTTGCTCCATTTCTAAAAGAACACAGTCGAGCCAGGGATTTAGCTTAGTGGTTCTACCACCTGCCTCGCAAGCGCAAGGTCCCAAGTTCAATCACCAGTTCCAAAAAGTAAAAAAAAAAATTTTTCAAAAAAAAAAAAAAAAAAAAAAAAAAAAAAAAAAAGTCCATATGTAAAAGAACACAGTCATTGTTTCAGGCTGTTCAGTGGCTCCCATTGTTATTAAATGGAGATCAACAATAATAAATTTCTAAGGGACAGCTTTTGCAAGACGGTAAAATGTCTTGTTACAAGTTGGTTTTTCTTCTGTGGCTTTTTGCTTTCTGCTTTCCTTACTTACAATGCCCATTCCTATATCGTCTTTCATCTTCAAAATCCTATGTAAAATAGACTCATTTTTCCCAAGTGGCTAATACACGCTGATCTGCCCCTTCTCAGACTGCTAACAGGTTCCATCGAGATCATGAATTTTGTTATTATTGATCTCTACAGCATCTATCATTAAAAATAGAGCAAACACTTAATAGCAGCTTCCATTTTACACCAAGTAAAATTAAAGTCCTTGTGGTAGCTCACAAGGTCTGCCCCAGCCTGCCCCGCCACGCTTCCTGCATTCTTTCCCACACCTCTCTTCATCTACTCTACAGCTAAATCTTAGGAACAAGTGTTAAATGAAGGTGTATGTTTCAAACAGCTACCTATGGCATAGTAATCTTAGAAACTTCAGGAGGAACGTATTTTTAGGGTCTCATCTTGTGAATGGATTGGCCCATCGATGGGTTCCTAAGTGGGTGGACTATTGGGAGGTGGCGAAACGTGCAGAAATACAGTACAGTTGGAGGAAGCTCAATGGGGAATGTGCCCCGGAAGGGCTTATCTTCTCCCCACCTCTTCCTCTCCCTTTCTCTCTGCTTCCTGGCTGCCATGAGGTGAGCACCCACCTCCTCCATCATATCCTTCCGCTCTCGTGAGGTTCTGCCTGGACTTAGGTCCAGGGTGATGGACTGAAACCTCCAAATTCACGAGCAGAACTACATCCTTCGTCCTTTTCTCAGATATTTTGTTACAGTAACTGTTTGTCACAGTGACTAACATAGCAGTTCTCTCTGCGTGAGGATGAGCTAGAGTCTGCACCCACCCACAGGCAGATGCTACACTGCGAATAATATTGTTATGAGTTTGGTAGTGGGTTCACAGGATTTATTTTGGTATAATACTTGATAACTTACACATATATGTTCCATGTACCAAAATTACAGAAAGAATTTTTTTTTTCTTTGATACCCGATCTCACTATATAGTTCGAGCTGGCTTTGAACTGACTATGTAGTCCAGTCTGGCCTCAAACTTGCAGCAATCTTCCTGCCTTAGCCCTCCAAATGCTGGAATTAACAGGCATCCACCACCACACTCAGAACAAAAAAAGCTAATTATCTTTACACAGCACAGCTTACCCTAGCCACCTTAATTGCAGGTAGACTAGAAACACAACGTGAAGAACACGACTAATAGAGGACACTACAGAAAAATATATTTTCTTTTGTTAAAAATAAAAATTGTATATATTTATCATGTATATCATAGTGTTTTGAAATATGTTTACACGTGGAATGACTAAATTGAGATAATTCACATTAGAATTATCTCATATACTTATTTATTTATTTATTTTAACTTACTTTTGGTGGTCAGAACATGTATTATCTATTCTCTAAGCAATTTTAACTATATTTACTGTGAACTGTAGTCACTATGTTGTACAATGGCACTCTTGAACCTATTCCTCCTGTCTAATTAAAATTGTATACCCTTAAGCCAACACTGGTCAAACCTCCCATCCTATCTCATAGCCTCTGCTAACCACCAAATTCTACTCTCTTTTCTAAGAGTTTGACTATTTTACAATCCACAGATTAGTGAGATTATGAGCTGTCTTTCTATACCTGGCTTATTTTGCTTAACACAATACCCTTCAGGCTCATCCATGTTGTTATAAATGATAGGATTTCTTTTTTTTTAAAGCTGAATAGTACACCACTGGGTATATGTACCCCACATTTGCTTTACCCATGTATCCATGTATCTTCTGATGGATATTTCTATCTATTCTATATCTTGCCTATTCTGAGTATAGCTGCCATGAACATGGGAGATATTTCTTCAACATATTGATTTCACTTTTTCACAATATTTGCCTAGAAGAATGATTGCTACATTTACAAATATCTTTATAACCTCAGACTAGAAGAGGATTTTTCACATAAGAAATACACAATGCACAAACCACAAGTAGATTGGTAAAATTTACCATATGAAGATTTAAAGTGCATATATGCCAAAAGATACATCACAGTAAAAAGGCCTGCCATAAACTGGAAAATATCTGAAGTACAATAGACAAGAAAATATATTAAGAGCTCCTTAAAAATCAATAAAAAACCAGAAATTAGAAATAAAAGTGGGTAAACATATAAAACAGTGGGTGAATTGCAGAAAATAAAATAAATAAATATAAAAATGTTTAACCTCTTCGATAATCAAGATAATGTGAATAAAAGTCCCATTGAAATATAACAATATCCATCAGGCTGTCATTAGATCTGCATCGTATCAGATGTTAATGAAAATCTGGAACCTGGGCAACTCTCACATTCTGCTAGGAGAAGGATAAATTGCTTCTTCATTCACTGGGGAGGCACTTGGTAATGTCTTAGGGAGCAGGAAATGCACAAGTGCCCCTATGACCCAGAGATCCCAGTATTAGAGACTGACCTCCTCAGACACAAGGAGATGTGTGAGGTTTACTGTAACACTGTCTACAATAAGGAAAAATTAGAAATACCTATGTGTTCATCAATAGGAGACTAACAAAGTAAACTTTTTTATGTTGGAATATAAATAACTCCAAGATGGGTTTAATGTAGCGAATCACAAAATAGTGGGAATGTCATCTCAGAAACATTCTACGAAACTAGTTCTACACAGTGTGTGAGAGTCACACACATACATGTGGGTTCATATCCACATATCTGGTGATCAACCCTGGGAATAATCAGCAGATAGTATTAGTAAGAGAAGGGGCTTCACTTGTATGTACCTTCAGTAATTTATTTCTTAAGTATGGTAGTGTATTCGTGGTTATATTATTCTAAATTTTATCAGTGCAAAGAGAAACAGATTGTGGCAGGACAGTTGGTAAGTAGGAAGATGGGAAAATGTTTTTGTTTTCTCTTTCAGTAGTTCTGACTCTGCAATTACTGTTTTAAAAGTTGGAGAGCATAAAGTTGGAGCTTAAAAGTTGATAGCTCCCTCTTGTGCCAACAAGCATTCCTGGAAAACCCACGGGCTTCGCGTGATGGTTCCTATCTAGATGTCCCCCCACAGCCTCACGAGCTCTTAGAGAGGCAGCTGGATCATGGGAGCACGAAACTCATCAATGGATGAGTCCACTGCTGAGTTTATAGCTAACTGTGATGCTGGGAGATGAAGCCCCGCCTCTGGGGGTGTGGCCCAGAAGGTTATATTCCCCCCTCCCTCTTCTCTCTCCTCTCTCCTCACCCCCTTTCCTGCCGCCATGTCTTGAGCTGTTTCTCTCCTGCCATGCTGCCCTGCCTTGGAGCCAGCTGACTACCGACTGACACCTACTATAAGCTGTGAGCCAAAATTAATCTCTGCCCTAGAGTTGTGGGTGTCAGGTATTGTGTCTCAAGTAACTATAACCTTAGATACTCACTCTCTATGTTTTTTGCCATCTCCCTCTTTTCTCGGATGAGCATTTTACGCCTCTCCCGGCATTCTTTGTTAAGTTTATGCTGCCTGGTATTTTCCTCCTGGAGCTGTACAATTCGTTCTTGCAGCCGTCCCAAGGAGTGGTTAGAGAAGACCAAAGTACCAGAAAGGTCACTAGGTACTTCCCCAAATACCATATACTCTATCTAAAAAAAACCAAAAAACAAAAAATAGAGGACGAGAAGAGAGGGAAAAGGGAAGTAAAAAGATTTGAGATGTGCTAAGTACACGTATCAGCTCCCACAATGAACATAACCATCATGTACTGCAAATATGTATTAATTTTAAAAAATTAAAATAGACAAAGACACAAACCAAGTGTGAGCTGAGAGAAAGTAGGAGAGGAATAGTTCTTTCTCAGTCCTTGCTTTCCTTTCTTGCCTTTGGGCTTCCCTCTCACCACTGAATAACAGTGACCACCAGATAGACAGAAAATTGCAGATTGCCAGCCACATTATGTCTCTCTGGAGACAGCACATCTTCCCACACAGATGGAACCAATATTTCAGGTTTTGGAGTGCGGTCAAACTGCTATGTAGAGCTTACCCAGTTTGGGTCTGGCTACATAAAAAGTATATAAGGCTGACCTTGTACTTTTATTTGTTTTTATTTTGTAGAATAAAGTGTCTTATCCTGAGTCTTTTTTTTCTCTCGCTGATATGTCTTTCCATTATTTTATGTAAGTTGTAACTCAAGTCAATAGTGGAAATGAACAGAGGGAATAAAGATAAAATATTTTCTTTCTGTCCTGATCGCCTTCATTGGATCATGTCTAATTAAAGATGGCAGAGTGACATGTGTGTAAAGTGCCACATCTCAAATCTCCAGGCCATTTCATTCTTAAATCATTTCTCCAGACCAGAAATGACCCAACTTTTAAAGTGGTAACGAGCCCCAGGGAAATACGCACACTTTGGTGTTTTGCTTTAGTAACAATCTGATGATACTGGATAAAGTTGGGTTGTTATCCTACATGCAGAATCCTCAGCCAAGGTGCTTCTCCCACGGACGAGCCACGAAGCTCTCTCTGGGAAAGCCTGGGTGTGATGCCTCTCTGCTCAGACTGGGCAGAATGAGCTCTCAGATCTCACCTGGTGGAGCTTGAATGGAAGCACAACCAGCACCTCGTTCAGCTGCTGCTGCTTCTCTCGCTGATAAGCCTCCAGGGCCTCCTCTGCTGCCTTCAGATTCATTGCCACAACTTTTACCTGTAGAAAGCCCCATACAGCGATGTTGACAAGACCCAGTGAATCCACACGTACAGTGGGAGATGAGGGAATATAGCATGAGTATAGCATGAGCAGGATGTGCTTTGTTGGGCTGAGGTGCAATGTTTACTATGTTCTTCCTGCCAAGTTAGGGTCCATGTCACTCTTTCAATCATTCCTATGCCCCCCAAATTTTAAGCTTTTGCACATAAAAGCTCAGAAGATGTGTCCTCATCCCCTTTCTTATTTTCTGCATGAAAAGCAGCCCTCAGCGTGGGATGTCTTTGTCAGAGTGATGAGAATCTTGTTTGGCCATAATGACCTCATTAAATAGGGGGGGGGAATCCCTTTAAAGCAGTATTTCTAAAGCAAGTTAGTCTCCTAAAAAATATGAAAGGTTTCCATAACATTGACTGTAGGAGGAAAAGAAATTTAAAAAGTATTTCTAACTATAAATCAAGTTGGGTGTTGTTACTCTACACAAGAGTAACTATGGGGGAAGATGAACAGAAAAGGCAGAAAGTAGTTAATATTATACTAGAAATTTAGCTTAGTGATCAACAGCATGCAATGTGTGCATCCCTCCAAGAGTCAGCAAAATGATTTTCTGGGGGTGCAGAGAGAAAATGTCAGAATTTCTATTTCCTTTTATCTCGTTCTTGTGAAATGTTCATAGTTCACTAAAATATACTAAAACAGTATTTCCTAAACACAATTTAAATATATACATCCTCTATTACGGTAGTATGTACTGTATTTTTTTTTTACTTATAGAGTTACATAATTAAAAAGTTTAGAGACCAATGATTAAGATGAAGAATCATTAATTTGTCTGATGGTCAAAGAGCAATAGTCTGTACCACTGTTTATAACACGTGAGACATTTGTTTTCTGCCCGCCCTGACAGCTGGCTAGGAGGGCAGGGTGTGTGGCATGTTGGGAGAAGACAAATAAGCAGGCAGAGACAACCGTACCTTTTTAGACAATGTATCATATTCCTTTTTGAGGTTATCAACAATTTTCTTTTCTTCAACAAAGGCCTCCTCTATGTCTAGCCTTTTCTCTCGAAGTCGAAGGGCTAGTTCAAAAAGACCCACATCACAGCCTGAAATGAGAGTTAAAATTAAAAAGCAGCCCCATGTACTGTGGAACATGGTCGTTCCAGCAGGGCAGAGTCTGGAGCTCCAGAGTTGGTAATGTCTGCTCATAGATCCACTGCACTTGTGGCTCCATTGCTCCAGGCAGAAACTGTTAATGGTATTAAAAGTCATAAGAGTAATCATGGGATTGATCTTCTGAAGGGTATTTTGAGCCAGACTTTATGCTAGGCGCTTTACATGCACTGTCTCATTCAAGGCTGCAAGGTAGTAACTATTGTCTTTATTCTATAAGTGGAGACCCTGAAATCTCAGAGGAGACACAACTGGTACATGAAAGCATGTATGATAGCGCATCTTCAGGTGCATTGCCTTTCACCACTCTTCTACTCTGTCACACTCACAGCCTCATTAACTAACCAAGTGATAGATACAGAACTTAAAAATAGAATGTTAAGATGGAAACTGGGAACCTTGATTCTAACCTTAGTTCTACCACCATCCTGCTGTGTGATATTCTTCAAGCCATTTAATTCTGCTATAAAGTAAGGACTTGCATCACAGAGATTTTGTGCTCTCTTCTACCCATAAATATTATCGTTAGACTCTTGCTTTCAAAGTTGAAACAAGATTTAAACTTTACTTGAAATTAAACTTAAATTTTGAATAAAACTTTTTTTTTTTTGGTACTGGGTATCAAACTCAGGTCCCTGCGCTTGCGAGGCAGTCACCAGAACCACTGAGCTAAATCCCCAGCCCTAAAACTTTATTTTAATTATCTATCAAATTACAGATTAAAGCAAACTGGTTTTCTCTAGTGAAACATTTACTTGAGACTATAAGGCTGTTAGTCTAGCTGCTCTAGACTGGTTTCACCATGGTGAAAATATAAACTGCCAACCTTTTCCAGTGAAATGGAAATTTGTAGCATAAATTTCACACAAAGAAAATTTGAAATATAAAATTTGAGTGTTTTTTTAAAAAGGAAAGTATTGCTTAAAGATCTGTGTAAGTTGTCATCCCATGAGTCTCTAAAAAATGAAATGTGCCATATAATTTATAGTAACAACCAATTTTGTCTACAGATTTTTAATTTTTTATATAAGGCTTTTTGAAGGAACAGATATGAAATCATCCAGAGAACCTCCCATAGAATAATTAGACTCTTCTTCACATATTTGATGCCACCCTTTCCTTAAATTTTATTGTCAGAGAATTGTGAATTTAAGAAAGGACTTTCTCAGTATTGACAATCCCTGGTCACGCTTCACAAAGAACCCATGGTCTTATCCAAACACACCTGTGGGGCAGATAGAATCATCCAAAACCTCCGCTTCAGATCCAGATTCATCCTCATCATCCTCCAGGCTGGACTCATCTTCATTCGATTCCTCACTTTCCTCATCTTCATCTGAGGAGAGAGAACTCTGTTAGCAGAGAAGCTCCTCTACTCAACTACTAGATTTCCCAGGCATTCTTTCAAGGAGTCAGACCCCAGGAAAATAACAAAAACAAAAAGTAGGCGATTAGCCGCAGTTTTTAGGAGAGTGTAAAATTGTGAAGGACACAGAGGTCACAGACGCAGATGCCTGCAGAAGGTCCCGCAGTTATCACTAATGCACTACATCAAAGGTGTCAGAGCCCAGTTCCCAGCTACTTCTGCTGCAGCCTACCAACCACACACTTGGCGAAATGGGCCCACACCTCCTAAGTCACTAAATTCTCTAAAAACAAAAGGATTGTTGTAACTTACCGAAACTGAACTTCCACTATTTATAGTCTACCTAACCCATCCATTGTGAATATTCATGCTTTGCTGCAAAAATATTATTTGACTTAGAGATCCTATACCAGTGAGGTGTTATGTTGACATGTTGAAAGATGTGCTATCCTTTCACCAAACGTGAGCCAGGCTTCTTTGAGTTCTCTTTCTGACTTAGCTCCGGACCTTTGGCCCTGTCCTTAACCCAGCTCGTCCACCTGTAGAAGAATCCTGCTGAATTTTCTTAGTGTAAATCCTTTACCCTTGATATCAGATCCATTTCCTCATATGCCCACCCTCAATATCCTATTACTCTGGACTGCCTTCAGCAAAAATTCCGTTAGGACAGTTGAGCCAAAAATTGGGCTGGGGATATAGCTCAGTGGTGCCTCACCTGCCTGGCAAGTGCAAGGTCCTGAGTTTGATCCTCGGTATCGAAAAAACAAAACCACTTGTTAATAATTTTTGGTCCAGCGATGCCACCCTGCTCCTAAGCTATAAATTTCTACCTGTCCTGTATTCAGAGTTGAGTTCCGTTTCTTTCTCCACCTGCAAAATTCTACTGTAGTAACACCCCCTGCATAAAGTCTGCCTTATTATTCTTTAGAGAGCATATCTTTAGGGCTGGCGATTTAGCTCAGTGGTTCTGCCACATGCCTTGCAAGTGCAAGGGCCGGAGTTCAATCCCCGGTACAAAAGTAAATAAATAATTAAAAAGCATATTTGTATTACAATGTTTCATATATGTATATATATATATATATATCTTTATATAATTGCCTACATACTAAAACAATCTAGTCACAAGAGTATAGTGCCAAGGCACTGTACACCTTTCTACTTTGCCTCATTTTCTTCTAAAATACTTTAAGGACATCTATGAACCACATATCAACAATTTGCAATTCCTGTTTCATGGAACTCCAAACCAGAGATAAGAGATGGACTTTTTATTTTCTGGATTTAAGTTTAAGGTCTCTCTTAACATTCCTTTAAGTGACTTGTGACACCAAATAAAATGATTCAGGAAAGTTTCAAAATTAATTTTCAAAATTAGTTTTCTGCTTCCTGAAAAGAAAGTAGACTTACTATTGTCTATTGCTCTCTAAATACAACTAAATATTATATGTAAAATATATATAAGAAGATTTTGAAAAGTGGAGAAAAGCAAGCAAACCAAGAATGCATCTGATTTCCCCTTCTTGGTATCTTCCTGAAAGGATTAAAAGCATCATACCACAGCAGCATATGTAGACCCATGTTACAGCAGCAGAGTTTGTGGCAGTTACGTCTTGAAAACAGTTCAAATGCCCATCAACTGATGAATGGATAAAAAAAGAGGTGGCTTTTTATACAATGAAGTACTATTCTACCATAAAGAATAAACTTGAGACACTTCTAGGTAAATGGATGCACCTTGAGACCATATTCTTGAGTGAAATAAATCAGGCATTGTTTTTCTGGTGTGAAAAACAAAAAGTGTAAAATAAGGACCAAAATGTATAATAGATATTGTGAAATGTTCAAAGGAAAATGGGAACAAGAAAGGAAGGGACAAGAAAAAAAAAGAATAAAAGGGGAAAAAATGGAAACAAAGCTTTTGTAAATAATGAGGGGAAGAGAAGTTGAAGGGAGGGATGGGGAATGGGAAAAAAAAGAAGCAAGATGTATCATACACAGGTACAAATTTCCTATGATGCATGTTATCATTATGTACATCTAAAATGTATCAATAAAATAGATTAAAAAAGAAAAAGAAAAGAATGCATCTGAGAACCAGAAACAAAACAAAACAAAACAAAACACTGTAGTGATTTCAATGGGTCTTCTTTTTGCTTTATCTAGCTCAGACTTAGGAGAGAATAAGTTGGCAAGCTAGTACTCCATCAGGTGCAGGTACAGAAAGGTCCAACAAAAGTCTGACTCTCTCTAGTCAAAGAAGAAGAAAAGGGAAGCTTAATAAGATAAAACTTTTAGACATTATTCCTTACTCCAACAAAATACTACAGTTAAATGTGCACCTGTGTGTACACACATCACTACCAGGCGAGTGAGGAGGACTAGACATCCACACTAACAGGGCTGGAATGAGGTACTCCAACACTTTTTGCTTTTTTCATATGAAACTAGGCTCCGATTGAAAGTCACCTGTCATCACTAACACTGGGAAGATCTTGAACTAAGTGGAAAGAGACAACCAAAAGGTGTTGGTTGACACAAGGTGAAGGATGCTAGAATTATTGGATGCACCGAAGCAGCCATGATAAAAATACTTTGGGGATCAATTATAAATACACCCAAAAGAGACAAAAAATATAAGGAAAGCTTCAGAAAATATAAAGGACTAACGGGAAATTTTAGAACTAAAAAACATAATCCTATTAACATACACACACTCCACACAGTTAAAGACCCTAAAGGTTTTATATCTCCTTTTAAACCTCCAAGTGCCTTTGCATTGCCTCTGTTGAAGCAGAGGGGAAAAGCAAAAACACATAGGAATCTTAGGTACTTCTCTTTTTCATATTAACCACAGGAAATAGAATAAATGTAAAAATAGAATACAAACCAGCATCTCCTTCAACCTCCCTTTTCTTTGCTCGCTTAATCTTCTTCTTTAAGACCTTCATGAGGAAGTTTGCAAATTTATTGTTTTCTCCAAGGGCTGTTTGGAAACCAGCATAAAGCGCCTTTTCCTGTTCCTGGAGCTTGGTGATTTCATTCTTTTTTTCTTCCATCTCTTTAAGAGTGTCATTTATTTTCCACTAAATGAACAAAAGCAAAAACAAATGATAAACAGATGTTTATGATGAACCAGGTTCACAGGGCAATGTATTTTACAGTGCAATGTTATAGTCTACAAACTTTTTAAAAAGCTTCTTAGTAGAAGTCTACATTTCTACATTGGCAGAGACATCCATTTACTTGATTAAACTTTTATTATTGTTTTGTAAAAATCCATTAGGTTCATAATCAGAAAGATCAGCTTTCTAATATTTAACTTTCTTTTTTAAAAAATCTAAATGAAATTGGAATTTTTACTGATATCTGGATGTCAGTTAAATATTTTTGCATGTCTCAAAAACAAAGATTCTTCTGTGTTGAAATATGATATGCAAAACAAAAATACATATTTTCTCTAGTGAAACTGATGTACCTAAAAATTGATCTCACTTTTCACGATATAATATCTACTTAACAGAATCCTTTCTCTAAGGAAATTATAATTTGTTTTTTGAGGTGTTTCCTGTTATTCAATTATCTGTTACATTGAAAATAGCTATCATACTTAAGATATTCACTAGTTTCTTTTCCAGTTATGTTCATAAAGATAACAATCAACACAACTTACGATAGCTGATGGCAAAAATACAGATTTTTCAAAATCTAAAGATAAACTAAATATAAGGTTCATTTTTGAAAATTTCATTCTCTTACCTTACACAATATTAAATTCTCTAAAAATCAGTCATTGTAGGGTGAAGGGAGGACAGGAGTATGGGGAAAAAATGAGAACCAAAACCTGTCATGTAAAGGTACAAGATCCCAACGATGAATGTAACTGTACTGTATACCTAAAATGTACCAATAAACTCAATGAGAAAAAAAAAAAAAATCAGTCATTTTATTCTGACCAAGGGTGCTAATGACAGAGGCCAAACAGAAATAACAGGAAAGAGGAGGGAGAGAACACAAGAAAAAGTTGAGGGCTAGCATAAGAGGAGAAATTCAAGAAAAAAAGAAAGGGAAAAAGAGTCAAGTTCTAAAACAAAGGGAAGAACCAGAAAGGGTTCTACTGCCAGCTGTTACTTGCATGTCCTGCTCTTCTTTGTCTAATGAATTAACACGCTCTTGAAGTATGTTTTCCTGTTTCTCAAAATTCTTGAGAAGAAGAATTTCTTGAAATAAAGTGACATGGTGTAGGTCAGATAATTTCATCTGAGTATCTAGTTTTAGTTTCTGATGTCTCAGGAGACGGAGTTCTGCATCAAAAGTGACCATCAGCTCTTTGATCTGAGTAGGAAAAAGATTTGAGACTATATTAAAAGCTAAAAGGAACTATAAAAGAAAATTTTAAAACTACTGAACATTACTAATTTGAGCTTTTGTGGGAAGTGTTTATATCTTTCTCCTCTTTACCTCCCTAGAATTACTGCTTGCTTTCCTTATAATAAGCCTAAATATTTATTTAGAAAAAATTTCAAGCCTCCAGAATGGTGGAACTTTTAAATAGATAAATATAATCATGGAGCTACAGAAAATGTTTGATCTTCTTATCTTATTGAGGAAGAAACTGAGGCCAAAGGTGATTTTCTTAAGATCAAAGCTTCTTTATTCAGAGGTAAGATATTAAGAATTCCACATCCTTGCCTGGACCTTATTCCATTGTGAACCAAGTACATTTAAGACCTCAGCTTTCCTGTGACTTGGGCATAGCTCCTCCCCGACCTCATCTCAAAGCACAGAAATGCATCAAGAGACAGCCTCAAGGGCTGATCCCAAGGAAGAGGTAAACCATGCTATACTTTTCACTGGGTTGTACATTATACGTTATGGAGAAAACAAACTGTCAAAAGCCTGTTACGAGTGAGGCTGAGGAAAAGGAAAAAATCTGTGGTTTGGAGACAGTGAAATTACTGGAAAATTTGAGAGAGTTTAAAAAATAAACAGCTGGGGATTTAGCTCAGTGGTTCCATTGCCTGCCTCATAAGCTCAAGGTCCTGAGTTTGATCCCTGGTACCAAAAAAATATATAAATAAATAAATAAATAAATAAATAAATAAATAAATAAATAAATATAAAATAATAAAACAAAGAGAAGAAAAAATAAACTTTCAAGTAAGTATGGCTGTAAATTTTGTGTTAGGATTCCTCTATAATGCTTGTTCAATAAATATATATTATTTCTAAATTTCTTTGGAAGTAGTGCTGTAT